TCTGTGCTTCCCCTCCCCACCCCCAGGATCAACCGAAGGTCAAGGTGGCCATGGCAAAAGTCTCTCTGGTGCAGCTTCTCTGAAAGTTACCTTCTGGGAGTCCCCACTTGCTTACTGTTCACTGAGGAGAGGCCTGAGCCACAGCTGACCTGCCAACCTCAGCTCTCTGAGGCCGTCATCTTCCTGAAGAAAGAGATAACACAAGAGATTGCAGGCCAGCCGAGCGAGAGCAAATCACTCCCCCTTCCCTGATAGGACTGCCGTGCACAAAGGGCCCACTTTGTGGACTTATTTTTATTACTTGGCTGTGAGCAAGGGCAATGCTTCTTCATGACTCCACCATTTGGCAGAAATTGGCCCCAACAAAGGAAAAAAAATATAAAGAGTACTGATTCCCTGAGAGCTCCCGTCATTGTGTTAATTATCTGTCTGGTGCAGGGTGGGAAAGGCAGGGAAACATCTGGACGAGGCCAGTCATTTAGCGTCAGCGGGAGTGTCACTGCATCAGTGTGGTGGCAGTAACGAGTGGGGCAGGCGGCCCCAATCAGAGGAAAGGGGCAGCCTTCAAGGTCACCCAGGATGGGAGGTTCATCCCCAGCTGCCTATGGGGTGGCAACATCAGAGCCTGGGGTTATGGCCTGAGGCCAGAAACAGAGGGAAGGGGAAGCTGCTGTGCCAGCGAAGAGGAGCCGCCCAGTCTGACGAGGGAGTCATTTCCTACCCCCCCCCCATCTCCTACAAGCAAGCTGCTGCCCAATAAATCCAAATAAAAACTGGCCCATAACTAAGGGAGATGTAGCCTCCTGTGTCCGAGAGATTGGCTATTTTTTTTTAAGATTTATTTTATTTGTGCATACAGAACTGGGGTACAGGCCAGAGATGCAGGGGTGGTGAGTGGATTCACCAGAGACTGAGTGGGGAACAGAACAGGCAGATTGACGAAGTACACTGCTGAGGGGAGCAGCGGGCGGGTCAGGAGAGGTCTGCCGCGCCATGTGGGTCAGCTCCAGGGCAGGTGGGGATCGAACTCATGCAGAAGTGGCTTTAGCTTCTTAGCTCTGTGCTTTAACCCGCTGCGCCACCAGGGAGGGCCGAGATTGGCTTTTATGCATGGCTACACCCTCCCTGGCAGCCAAAGCAGGCTTCCCCAGAGCCCCACGCGCCTCCAACTCCAGGTTTGGGGTTGAAGCAGATGAAGCCCAGGAGACCTCGTGGCCTCAGTTGCTTCCTGAGGAGCAAGTCACATCTGAAAACCAGTGGAGAGAAAGAAGTGGAGTCATGAGCCATCAGCCTATGACAGAAGCTTGCAGGTGTCCGGAGGCTAAAGAAAGGACCAAAGCCCTCAAAGCCCACTCTGAGCCAAGGGTGACCACCTACTTTTTCCCTCAGGCACCTCTCTAGTGCCCCTAAACCCACCCTCCTCAAGGAAATCTCAGGCCACTGTGACTAGCCAGGCAGAAAGAAGGCTCTGGTCTCAAACCTTTGTCCTCTCAGCCAGAGGCCTCTCAGAAGCAACCATAAAACCAATGGCACAGGTTTTATGCATAAATAAATAAATCTAAATCTTTTAAAAAAAAAAAAAAAGAAAAGTCATTCTGCTTCTCTGTGCCTTGGTTTCCCCATCTGCTACACACAGTGATAGTACCTGCACCTTGAGAGGTTTCTGTAAACTAATGTAAGTAAAGACCTCAGGACAGAGCCAGCAACTAGAAAGGGCTCAATGATACACTAGACCAGCAAGAGGGCCCACACGCCTTTTAGGGGCCCACAGTCAGCAACCTGCCCACTGACCTTCCCAATGGCCTGCCTTTAACCAGTGGTCCAACAGAACCAAGACAGACCTGCCCATTGGACATAAAAACTAGAAAGGAAAGAGTAGAAAAGCATTTCTTAGGGTTTCAGAACCATGGTGATCCATGCATGACTTTACTGTGGCGGAAGAGGGCTGTAATCCATTTCCTTGTGTATTACATTAAATTTTAAGAATTTCCTCTTAATTCTTTGAATCCCTAGCCTCCATGAGCACTCCACTGAGAAGAGCTTTGGGGAGGGGTGGTTGAGGCACCCCTGATATCAGGTACCTGATACTCCTGGTACCTCCATCAAGGTACCAAGCAGGGTCCTCAGAGGAACTCCAATGCTAGCTAATATTTTGAAAGCTTGTTCCCTGAAACTAGACTGAGGCTGTTATGGAATCCATCTGCTTTAACCTGTGTCGCTGTGTGATTATTATCATGAACTTCGCAGCAACGAGCAAACAAGTTAAGAACTTGCCTGCTCATAGATCACAGACCTGGGAGTAAAACAGTCTCCAGGCTCGTGAGTACCACACTGTACTTCCTTCCCAAGTAGGCAGGAGCAGCTCAAGCAAGCTGCTTGGGAGAAATGCAGGGCTGCAGGCTGCAGCGGCCCCAACACCCAGTCCTCGTTCTTAAGCCTCTAGCATTAAAGAGAAAGGTGGAGGGCCAGCCCCTCTCACTGACAGCTCTCACACTCCTGGCATACCCTGCCACCCATGGTCCCAGGGTGTCCAGATATCATCACCAAAACCTCCTGTCCGCCATTACTCACTGGCTGTCAACAATGTTAGCTGCATTCTTATGCCATCCTATACATCCACTCTGTGAAGACATAAGTAGCCTCACTTTACAGACGAGACAGGTGGGATACCGAGAGTTGACTTGACTTGCCACAAGGTGGCTGATATGGGACTGGAATGTGTTCTGCGCAAGACTGTAGCCTTCTCTCCTTAACCATGAGCCTTCCCTGGTCAGGTTCTGTCTTGGTGACACAGGATACCATCTGTCTTCCATGCAACTTGTATAATAGGCTCTTGGAGTCAAAGAATGGGCACTGTTTTTTCCATTACCCAGAACTGAAATGGGTGCACCCTGGTCCTCTCCATCCTGCCTGCTCCCCACTGGGCAATATGCAGACTCACTGTCTCAGCAACCCATGCCAGGGTGCTCCAGGAAATGTCACTGGGAGTGGCTGCTGGAGCCAGAGGTGGGCACCAGAGTAGGGTGACAGCTCTCACCATCTGTCTGTGGGCATGCTGTTAGGTCCAGTGCACTAGAAGATCAGACCAATTTCAGAGTTTTCCTCTGCCCACCACAACTACCCCTCTCCTCTCCTGCCCTCGCCAAGTTCTATAAATAACCCAGGTCAATTCATCAGAGGAAAGGCAGCCAGGCGGGTGTGGAAAGATCCTGGTGGAAAAGATGACTTCTATAAAGTAAATTAAGGTTCCCTTTGAGATCGAGGGGCAGCACACTCTACCGAAGGGACTGTCCTTGGCTGAAAACAGGTCTGCCTGAGCATACAGGCATAGACAACTCAACAAAAGAAGACCTAGAAGCTAGGAAGAAAAGGAACTGAAAACAATCAAAGTTTACCACCCTCCCTCCCCAATTCACTGAAATCACAGAAGCCCCTCCCCAAAGGCCTAGAGAATTTTTTTGGTTTGCCACCCTCCTTAGAGCCCCATTGTGTCATCTACCAGTCCGGCAGATTGGCTGAGGGAAGGAAGACTAGAAAAGGGGTGGAGTGAATATGAGGACTGGAGCCTCTTCAGAAAAAGAAAGGGCTAAGTAAGAGACCCAAGGGAAAGTTCTCTGGCCATATCCACCCCTCCAGCTCCCTGAGCTAGGAAGGAGGAAGAGTACAAAAAAGAGGAGGAAAAAAAAGAGCAAGCTAGACCACATGATTCCACACCCAGCAACCAAACAGCAAGTCATGAGGGAAGGAGAGAAGGCCAGGGGCCAGAGCAGAGAAGCCAGGTCACAGCCCAGCCTAGAACTGCCCTATGCTAGCCAGCTTCCCACCCAGGCCACAAAGAGCCATGCAAGGCCCTTCCCTACCCATATTTTGAAAAACATTCAAAATCAAATCCTTTTCTTTCCAAACCTTGTTTTCATACGGGACTGCACCAGGTTCATTCTCTCTTCCAGCAATCCTTCCTAGGTTTACTTACCTGGATGCCATTTCATGGAAGCAAACCTCTCTGGCATCTGTCTGACCCGGGCACACTCCTGCCTCCCTTATCTTACCTTTCCCATCTAGGGCCCAGGGGCCAAGAAAGTGTCACTCCCAGTTAACCACTTGAGTGATCCACAGTGGGCTGTCAGCCCTGGACCCTGGCTTCCAGATCCTGCCTAAACCCAAAACAGGAAATGGGGCTCCAAATCTGAGGCTTTGATCTTAACACAGGGAAGGTTCAATGCTGCCAAAATAAATGAATTTTAAAAATCCACTGGCCCTTCTAAGTGGAAGTGACTACAAGATTATCTACTGCTGTGCATTCGCCAAGCCACTAACTCCACCTTAGACAGGACAGGCAGGAAACTTGAAGACTGACTACAGTGTTTACTTCCTTTACTTTGGAGGTTCTCCTGTTTGCAGACCAAGGACATAAGAGTAGGGTCCAGGAGGGCATCTCAAGAGCCAGAGGACATGGAAGTAACAGGCAAAAAGCAGATGCCATCTGCAGCCTCAAGGCCCGTTGGGGCATCTGCCTTCAACCTTGCCCTTGAGGTTAACAGTGCACCCTCCTTCCCCCATTTCCTTTCCCACAAGGTGAGGTTTTGCTTCTCCACTCCTGTGAGCCTGCTCAGGACAGGCACTTTCTGTTTCCTTTCACTTCCAGGAGACAGAGATGGCCCCGAGGCCCCAGAGAGCTCAAAATTCTCCTTCTTGAGGTCCCCACGGTGGAAGAGCCTCCGAACTTTCCTCGACAATCTCCTCCTAACACTGGGTCACCAGCCACATCTCCCCCAGGCCCCCCAAGGACCCACCAGCCGCCAGGCACATCCCAGCGGACTCTGGGGGGAGGGGTCAGAAGGGTTTCACAACATGCAAAGAATCAACTTGTCGGTTTATGCCCTTGTGCGCTCGAGGCAAAGGACCCACCGCCCTGTGGGAGGCTGGGGTCCCACTCCCCTCCCCAGCCCCGCCCCGCGAGGCCTGTAACCGTTTCCGAGGTGCCCGCGCCCCTCACTCACTGAGTGTGCTGCGCGCGGCCTTCGCCGAAGACCTCATCCAGCGCCACGGTGGCCTGGCCCAGGAACTTGTCCACGCCGATGAGCGAGCGGTGCATGGTGGTGAGCACCAGCTCGCAGGCGGCGGCGGAGCCCGCGGCCCAGGGCGCCGGGCTGGCCTCGGCTTCCTGCGCCCGCAGCAGACCGTCCAGGGCGCCGGGCGGCAGCTCGAAGGAGCACTCCTCGCGCCACTCGGGGCATCCTTGCGTCTTCTCCACCACCGACGTGCTGTACTTCTCGCGGCCTACCTGGATCACCGTGTACGCGTCGCTGGTGCTGCCCGCGCCCGAGCTCTTGCCCCGCAGCCCGCGGGCCCGCAGCA